GAAGATTTTTTTGCTGTTGTTAAATTCGCTTCGCCGTCGATATGTGGATAAAGCCTGGTATGATAAAAGGAGAGACAGTGATTTTTTATCAGACTTTGCATCAATCGCTCTAATCAAGCAGCTCGATGCAGGCCTAATGGAACTAACATTTAATATCAATATTGCAATACTGTCCGGACTTGGTTGGCGTAGTTGACTATGAAATTCCGATAAAATCTCTATGTAAAGGTTTATTTGGGGAAGGTTCGATTAAAGGTGTCAGTCCATTTGTGTAGAGACAGAAATTATGAAGTAGTCCACTTTATGGTATTATCAATTTTTTTCTTTAGTCGCCTGAGTCCAATGTGTTTGATATCTGATTCACCTTTGGAACCAAATTTTTATTTTGTAAAGCAAGATATATTTTTATAAAATCATTTGAGGCCGCGAAAGATTTTTATACTTCTTTTTAACAGCGAAAATGCGTGGAGTCGCGCCCCACAATTACACTTACCTTACAAGCTTTGCTCGAGGCTCGTAGTGGTTTATATGATTTAAAAAAATACCTATCACCAAGATAATGAAACATTACCAATATCAGCACCAACTAGAACCTAATGTGATAGATTAAAATTTTCATTCAGTTTGTGTGCGGCATCCTATAGTTTAATTGCATTATCGGATGTCTATTTAGTCAGATTAAAAAGCATTGACTGACACTCTCCTCTATAAATAAGGAGCTTCTAGTCTTACCTGTGCAGCCAAAAGATTTTTTTTTTAAAAAAAAAATTAGCAACCATCCAATATGTATACTTACAAAGTTCTATGGCTATTTTAGCACTGGGTAGTCACTAAATCTGCTTGATTTTAGCAAAGCAAATAATACCATGAGATGATCTATTTGACTTACAAGGTGCCATTACATCAAATGCATATTGGCCTTTAACAGTAAATATCCTTGACATTTTTGAAGTATCATCTTAAATATTTTTGCTGACATGACAGGTTTTTAGAAAAATTGCTACTATACGATCAACTAGGTCATCAGCTAAGATTAAAGCAATAATAATATAAGATATCTAGACTTGATTTAATGTCGCGATAATGAAGTTATGGTTTATGCTGAAGAATTGAGGTGGTTTCTAAAACGGTTATCAACAACTCTAAAGACGAAAAATCACGGTCGATCACTACCATATTCTTTCATAATGCCAATCAACACAAGTTTGCTCATGCGCTATAGCTATTACCAGTAATGCCAAATACCCTCAGTGTACTGGGAAGATGTCCCTATTATTGCGTACTGAGACGTTACATTATTGCCTATCGGACTTGGTGAGAGTACTGTGTTGAAGTCTCATGGTGAAGTACAACATTCTTGTACTCGACCCGAGTTTGGAGTGATGGTTTGAAAAGGATGGATACGTGTGCAACATGAGCTGCCAGTATTACGCAACGCGTGATGCGAGAGGCAATATGAGCTTCCAGTGTTACGAAATGCGTGATGCGAGGGTTTTGAGTGACACGAATGTATCTAGTTTCTATTTTTGCAAGCTGTAACTCTAAAAAATTTGATTAAATCAGGTATAGGGACTAAGCATTGAAATTTTCTTGTCCTTACGTAGACTTTGCGAGACAAATCTTCCTGAGAGCAAAGAATACGGCAACTTCGTTGCGCTTGATTTTACTTGACGTCAATCCAACGACTCAGTCTTTCAACACCGTACATGCAGCATAAAGGATACGCGCATTTTACCCCGACATACCGAGTGTCGTGTCGTGAGATTCGTTGAGGATGCAATATTTCAAATCCTTATTATGAGGAACCACAATTAGTGGTGTATCCGTTGGATCGGTGCTATGATATAGCAAGCCGTTATTGAAAGAATATCGGTGCAATCGTGCACGCACTCTTGGTGACAGTTTCTTGTCCGAGTCTCTAAACGCCTTGCTCCCTAGAGCCCTTTGCAGAGCTTTACACATCCGACTAAGGCCGAAAAAGCGAATAGAAAAGAGTCGTTCGAGGATGTCAAACATCCGCTTAGAAAGCATTCACCAAAATCATTAACTACAAACCCAGCGAAACACTTCAGATTTGATTTTGAAAAAAAATTTGTTAAATTGCTACTCAGCCATGAACACCATTGAAGACGAAGTTGTCAAAACAAATTACTTACACAGAAGAGTTCTGATAATACAACCCTTGAATCGCTGATATTAGCGCACAACGTGCTAAAACACCAGACATAGTGCAAGGGGTTGCGGCACCACTTGTGTAGAGGATGATTCGAGTCGAAGACCCCCATTTTAGCAAACACAGACAATGAGGTCAAACGCCAAGTATTAGAAAGAAAACAAAAATCTGCTCTGATACCCAAAACTTTACTTGCGCTCGAATTCTTAGTACTGACTAATAGTCATAGCCAGCCCAAATTGTATTTGAATTCATACGTCTTACAATTTTAGTATAAATCCCTTGCTTTGAGCATTGCACGAGACTATGACCTATGTTGTTCACAGATCATTTTTTCGTTGAAGCAATATCACTCCGAAATCGTACTTGCTTCAAGAATGTTGTACTCCATCATGGCACTTCATTGCAATACTGTTGAGCTCTTTCAAATTTGATGAAAGGGTAATGTGAGCTTAGTTCATAAGTTTTTATTACTCCGTTAACCCCCTCCTTCCTTCATCAGGACGTGAGATTGAAAGTCCGCCAAATTTCAGGCCTTTCTCGTTGAGAAGCCTTGTCTAAACAGTTCTGGCCTCAATCCACCCTTATCATAAACCATCCCAGTCGCAGATCAATCTTGCCACAACACATTCTCATTAAATTGCCTTCCCCAAGACTTACCATAACTTAGTGCCCCGTTAGTTCCAAGAGCGTATATTTCAATATTTCGTCAGATGCTTCGAGTGTTTAAGCACACGGCTCCAGGCCGTAGACAAGGCGCCTATGACCAAGCCAGGTCATTTTCGGTAAAAAAGGCAAGGTGCTTTCGAAAAAGTGTTGTCAAGTAACTCACCTATTCACGACTTAATATTTCCGCATTACTCAACGTATATACAGGTTAACAATTCCGCTTCTGTCAAAACCTCTTTCGAGAACGTTAATGTCTCCAACTCCCGCACTTACCTTCACATGAGCTGTGCGAAACAAATCAGTTTCACAAAAAAAAGCTGTACTACTTTCTGCATTGAGAATATCGATAAGGACGAAATAAACTAAATTGTACTTAAAGAGGTCATTCTTGGTGTCGACTGGCGCAATATTCAAGTCAATCATAATAATAGTAGAATCTATCAAGAATATGACTACTAATACAAGCTGAAAAATATACGTAAGTCGAGAACGTAGCTTAATGCTTGGCTTTGTGGAGTACAAAGCACGACGTCGAGGTCAAGTGGGCACTCGACTCATTACCAGATCGAGGTCTGATTAGATGTCAAAACAAGCATTGAGTTATAATAGCTCAGATAGCGTATATGCAACGATGCTTATCTCAGTATCCCGATTGAAGTTTCGGCGAGGTCGGAGTCGCCACTAGTCGATGAGCAAGCGGTGGTACACATCCGCGCGT